CCACACAATGCGTTGCAATGTACAATGCCCCACATTGCCTCGCATTACCCCTACGATGTAGGATTGCCCATTGTACTTACCCCTCGATCTATAGCCTTCATCCATCGTCCAACCAATACTGTTTCAGTGATCTTTGTGAAATGAATTATACCCATTGATTTGCCAATGCTGTGAAAATAGTGTTATATTAATTAACATAAACCCATAGGAAATATACTATTGTAGGTACCAGCACGATGAAAGTGCAACATGTACTTTTTATCACCGAAAAATAGTGCCAAAAATATGCCATCGATTAAATCAATAGGCCATTGAATCGCCAGCTATGTCGTGTTTGCTGGGTTGGGATATTCAGTTCTGAAAGTTTACATTAACTTCGTCATACAGGGTGTTGAAGATGAAAATAAACTATAATAATGTGTTCCAACAATTACTTAGGAATACTTCGATGAAGCTTCAAGATATTTCAGGAGATTGTTTTCATTGTTACATGCATTCATATTTATGGATGAATAATAGGATGAATAACAAAAGTTGTGATAAACAGAATTTTATGTTCGTTTATCAAACATTCGATAGTGCCTTCGCCATTTGCAAGTTCCTAAAAGTCCCAAGTCCAAAGTACAAAAAGCAACCCTGATGTTATTGGGATTGTCAATGAGTGGAAAACGTTTCATCTAGAGCTATTCTGAACGGTCAATTCAATTGTGAAATTTTACCCCAAAAAGGTATATCAATAATTTTTAGTCATTATTTCGCCTTCGCCATTTCATAAATTCTAGTCCTACAAAATTACAATACGATGTGAAAACGAAAATTCATTTCAGACCCTACTACGAAGATATATCTTTACATACATCTTGAATGAGAAACATATAGCTTTATGCCTATATTTTATGAAAAATAACCCGCAATCCTAAAAGATATCGAATAGGTATACCTACTTAAGTTTTTATCAATAATTGTAAATGTATGGGTTACTACATCAGATCAAATATAATAATGAGAATGTGAAATCAACGAACTGAGACATAAATGTGCAATTATTCGTGAACAGAGTTTTTTCCTCGACATTTCGTTAGAATTTCATATGTTACCAATAATTTCAATTCGAAATATTTCGGTAGGTTCTTATATATAAATCGCAGCATCATGTCTCTTTAGCATTAGTCTCCAGTCCTTCACATCAACAGCAATATATTTCACGTATCCAAGATGAAAACCGTACGTATTCGAGCTTTAGTTGTTCATGATAATTGTTTCATTATATTTTGTTTTTCGTTTTTTACAGATTATTTTCTTAGCCACTCTCGTTGTTGTAACTCTAGCTAGCCATGGTGGACATGTAAGTGAATCTCTATATTTATTTAACAATACTTCATTGATTATTAACTATCAAACAACTGATAATGCATGGGAAACTCCCGAAAATCATGTACTATTCAGTTGAAACATTGTAGATCTAAATCACAACCTAGTAGGCGACGGATAACTTAGTTTACTTAGTTCACGTAGATGTCTCTGAGGTACAGAATTTCGTCATTTTTTTTCCAATGAACAGCCAATATTATAGCTCTCGCCTAGTAACTACCTGACTAAGTTCTCATTTAGAACGACAATGCTTGAATCAAATTCTATGATTAATTACTTTCAGGACAATGCCCACTACAAATTCGAATATGGCGTCCACGATCCCCATACCCACGACCACAAATCCCAACACGAGCACAGAGATGGACACCACGCCACTGGAGGGTACACCTTGAAGGAAGCCGATGGTACCCACAGGATCGTCAAATACAAATCCGGACCTCACTCTGGCTTCGAAGCAGTTGTCGAGAGAGTAGGCCATGCTCAGCACCCAGCCCACTATGGCAAACATGGACACGGTGGAGTTGGTGGTACCAGCTACGTCGGAGTCACCCACTGGAGCAACCAAGGATCAGAAGGTGGCCATGGTGGTCATGGTGGATATTGAAAAATTCTAAATCTTTGAGATTATTGTTATTTTGGTTATGATTATATATTTTAATAAATTTTGTTATTAATGAAGCGACTTGTTTCATCATTGATTACTGCAGCTTGAGATTTTCTATTCATCAACTCCGCTTATACAGGGTGAGAATATTGAAGAAAATAATTCCTTTGATTATTTTAGTTCTGAAACTCTACAATAACTTCGTGATCAGGGTGTGAAACATGATAAAAAATCAGATATCTTTCAACAATTACTTAGGAACCCCTCGAGAAAGCTTCAAGATATTCTGGTAAATTATTGAGTATGACTTAATAGTGTCATTCTGCTCTCTCTAGCATATCTCAAGCGTTTGCAGAACTTCATCATTTTCTCCATTGAACTCAGCCGTTACTTCATAGATCCCAATTAGTGATTGAAAACGAAAATCTTCTACGAAATTCTTGAAAATACATGTTTTGCTTCTTCAGTGAAATAATCGTACGATAAATTGACCTAACATTGACTTGTCTAACTCATAACTCACGAACCAAAAGGATAGGATCAAAATTACCTGTGAGCAGGCTTGCTAATCCTTCATTTCGGAAACAATATGCATAATGTGGTCATTGAAATTTGGTGTGACGGATTGAGTAGTGATTGCAAATCTCACCTACCTACTATAAGGAAATGGATTGAGAATCTGTGAAATGTTAATGTTTCTTCAAGAAATTTACTTCAAACATCGATGCTTATGCAGCTTGTTCAACGAAAAAAGGGGAGAATATTTGGATCACTGCTGATAGTTCGGGAACTTATATTTATGCATATATCACTCTTCCAATCGACGTCTCTATTTTTATCGGATTTGAAAAGGTTTAACGAGTCTTTGAAGTAAAATATGTATGGAAAAAAATTGCAGATATTTGTTCATCTCCTTCACAATTCTGAAAATATATCGAACGTATATACATCGTACTTGCTATGGTGTAACCTACCTGTACTCAATTAGTATTCGACAAGGCTAATTATATACTGTCGTCAACACTATCAGATGCACTCAAACATGAAATGATATTCAAAAAAGTTCAGGAGATTGAGACAATTGGCAATATTATTCACATCATAATATCATGATGCCGCCGAAATTCATAGATTCATTCTGTCTGGTATAAAGAAGTCAAGAGGGTATACTGCAAATTTACCGATTCCTTTGAAATACTCTTCAGATCTTATAAAAACGCTGACATACGAGGTTGAATCCTCAAATAGATACGAGGTTAAATCCTCAACCAACAGTGCTCTGCTCCTTGAATAATCAGTTATGTTATAAATACGTTAGTCAATGAAAACATCAAATGTTTGGGTAGTTGCAACTGAAAAAATGCATGATGTGTTCATTCAGAATCATTCTATCGCAGCGATAAAATGAACGACCTCTTGGATGTATATCATTAGATTGTGAGGTAGACTAAAAATAATAAATATATGGAATATCTTCAGAATTATGAGTATATAAACTAAAAGTAAGATAATATAAATTTCATCGAATATTCTGAATGCTTTAATTCCTTCGTGCATGCATTGACATTTATTTGTTGAAGAGGGGTTTTCTTGAATCCTGCATGTAACTTTTTTGAAATGGCTTCAATATAAAAAACGTTACGCCACGTGTCGCCGTATAATCAACCTCAAAAACTTGTCTTCCACCCTTGTTCCTTCCACTTCCAACAAACATGAAGCTGGATGGATCAACATTTTTCGTGATAAAATAGAAAGAGAAAAGAAAAATGCAGACATTTTGAACAAAATAATGTTTTGAAAATAAGAGCTACGATTTTGTTTGAGATTACCATGAATTAATAAAATTGACAAAGTCCATGACCTTGGCGAAGAGTAATTCATCTAAATTCAATTGGATTACTTGATTCCAAACCTGAACTCAAACCCCAAGAAGAAGCCTCTTGAAAAAAAAATTTATGAATAGGTAGTAGTAATACGATAGGTAAATCAGAAGAAACGTTTATCAAATTATAATTATTATTGTCTTCACTATGGTGCCTTTGTCACTTGAAATTTCTGAAAATCCTACAAAACAATTGATTTTGGGATTACCAATAAGTGAAAAATGTTGCATTTAGTCATAGATTTCAACTATGATCTAGTGCTTGTAAAGTTTCAGCGACTTCGCCATTTCGAAAATTTAAAAATACAACCTCTTCATGGTAAATTTGATTTATCAGTTCAATACATCATGAGGAATTCGGTTAAGACCCTACTACGGAGAAATATCCTAGAATACAATCAGAACTGTGGATTGAAACAAGTAATAATAATAATAATAGGTACCATAAAAAATAATCCGCGTTGCCTTATAGATATCGAATAGGGTACCTAACTACCTGTGTTCTTCATCAATGATTGTAAATGTATAGGTTTCTAAACATCAGATAGAATATCATAATGATAATGTAGAATCATCGAACTGAGACATACATTTGCAATTATCCGTGAACCGAGTTTTTTCCTCTATATTTCGTTACAATTTCATATGTTACCAATAATTTCGGTATATATAAATCTCAGGATCATGTCTTATTAGCATTAGTCTGCAGCCTTTCACATCAGCAGCAATAATATATTTCCAAGATGAAAACTGTACGTATTCGAACGGTATTTGGTGATAATCATTATTTCATTATATTTCCTTTTAATTGTTCACAGATTATTTTCTTAGCCACTCTCGTTGTTGTTACTCTAGCTAGCCATGGTGGACATGTAAGTGAATTTCTATATTATTACATGTACTTATAACATTGCTTCTTCGAATATTAACACTCGAACTATTAATAAGGGGAAAATTATGTATTATTTAGTTGAACATTTGAGGAATCAAATTCTCAATCAATGATCATTTACTTTCAGGACAATGCTCACTACAAATTCGAATATGGTGTCCACGACCCCCATACCCACGACCACAAATCCCAACACGAGCACAGAGATGGACACCATGCCACTGGAGGGTACACCTTGAAGGAAGCCGATGGTACCCACAGGATCGTCAAATACAAATCCGGACCTCACTCTGGCTTCGAAGCTGTTGTCGAAAGAGTTGGCCATGCTCAGCACCCAGCCCACTATGGCAAACATGGACATGGTGGACACGGTGGAGTTGGTGGTACCAGCTACGTCGGAGTCACCCACTGGAGCAACCAAGGTTCAGAAGGGGGTCATGGAGGACACGGTGGATACTGAAAACGTTGTTAATTTCTTCCAAAGCGATTTTTGTTATTGTTATTTCCTTTTAAATTCAATAAATTATGTAATAACGGATATCGACTGATTTCATTTAATATTCCTCAATATTCCTCAACGTTCCTCAACATCCTTCAATATCTTTCAGATTTTCATGACCAATAATCTACAATATTTTGCAACATTCCAACTTCAAGGGCTCCGTACATTATACTAATTCTGGGCCAGTTTGAGGCAATGCAATTTTCTCGCAATTTTCCTCAGTTCATTGCAAGTTGCCGTACATTATGGTATTTCTGTCACATTTTCTTATTCATACGAACTATTTCAAAGTTTTTTGAGCTCTAAATATACCTTTTGAGATTATTTGGTGTCTCGGGCCAAGTTATGGGGAAAATTTGTATTTTATCATGTTGTTATAATAAATATTGCTTGAAATGTAACTAATATTGCCTTGAAATGTCATGAAATGAAATATCATAGACGCATGCACATTGTTCGATTCAAAATTGCATTCCAATGAACTTGCTGGTAAATAGCATAATGTACGGCGCCCTTTAAGATATTCAAGAACATTAGGGCCAGTCTTGGTTACTTACTACATGATTTTCAGCTGCCTGACCAACTGTTCATGAAACGTAATTCAGTGAGTTTGTTTGTTGACATGTATAGAAATCAATCTTTTTGTTGGTGGTTTGATAATAAAAAATAGCGACTATGTCAATTTTGCAAAAGTATTGGTGGAGGCACTGTCACCATATATTTCGAACTATTCATACTGAATGTTCATGATGGCAACATCAATATCGCACCTAATCAGTGATTTGAGGGGTGAATAAAATGAAGTATTGTCTTAAACTAGAGAACCTTGTTTAAGTTAATTTCATTTTATCAGCAAAAGGATATTACCATCAGAATAATGTCATGAAAACTTTGCCACCATTTGATGAATCAACTTCTTTTTTGGAGAAAGAAATTAAGATACTTTGATTTCATATTTAGTTCCTTCCAGAGAGTGATTGAATCAGTATGCAGTCAACTCAAATTGTAAAGATGTCTGTATATAGGGATGTGTTTGTCCCTATATAGAAATTAAGGATTAGAATTTTTTGTAAAAATTCTGCAACAAGAAAATAGGGAAAGCGTGATATTATATACTTTATATATCTTATTGAAGGCATTGGTTGTCACAATATCAATCGAAATACTCATGATTTCAGTATTTTTATATTTTGTTACAAGACTCAATGAGTCTGTCATCATTAAAATTCATGCATCAGAGTATTCATAAAATAGTATATCAATATTTCCACCTCCTGTATACCGCTGTATACTTATGTCAAGTAGATTCAAATGAACTATGAAGATACCTTCAATTTGTCGGTGTTAGTTTGCATCATTATATACGAAGAGTTTTTGAAATAAGTACATCGATATGATACAGTCTAACGAATATTCGAATGATATCAATTTTTTCAAAATCTTTCAATGAACGAGAAATTTCATCTCGCAAATTGAACAGAAAACAGCAAAAAAATCAGTTATGCCACTGAAATGAAAACCAGGTGGAAAAATCTATTTTGTCAATATACATATATCAGAAATACACGTCTATTATAACATCGAGAGGGAAATTAAAAAAGGTCAGGAGTTATAAGACAAAAATTGTGATGAATTACGCCATTGATACGTATATCTAGGTAAAATATCTTTCATTCAACTTTTTCTTCAGACTTTCATCAGGGATATTCGGCATTTAAATATTGTTGATTCTAACTATACCTTAAAATGACCGGCAAGATCATCAGATTTGATACCTCATGTTGAATTTTTATGGAGTCACATGAGATTAATCGTTACTAAAAATCCACCAGGAAATATTGATGGACTCGGACTAAGAACTATTTCAAAATTAAATGAAATTAATGAGAAGTCGTTTCGAAAAGTTTGTCAACAATTCTGAAATAGGCTCTACTATTCAGTACAGAATATTGGAGCATATTTTGAATATTTGCTTCAAATATACTCCTGTGAAAAATTGTTTTCCTTGGCCTCTCAAACTTTTGTTGATATCTCCAATAACATTATGGGTTGGATTGGCTTTTGTTTCTGCGCCTAAAGTTGGGACGGCCGGGGGTAAATGGGATGAACATAGCATTCAGTCGATACTGGTATTTCACTTCCTCCTCGATATCAAAATCGACCTATTTTTTCCAACTGTGACCACCACAGATTATATGCCATAAAACGATATATGTTAGATAATTTCGATTGACCCGAAACTAATAAGCATAATTACAGAAACATTCAGCCTATGGTAATGTGAAATCATTGAAGTGGGACGTGTCCATGCAATTATTCGTTTACACACACTTTTTTTATTGAATTTTGTCACAATTTTCTGGTGCCAATAATTCAGTTTCGAATATTTCGGTATATAAACCTAATCTCGGAGTGGTCATTCACTCATACTCACATCAACAATCATAGTCACAACAGCAACAATGAAAACTGTAAGTAGGCTTGGGACTAGTTTAATAAAAGTGTTCAATAGTTTTGATACAGAATACCGTTTCATTTTGGAATTGAAAATGTTTTAAATCATGTCGATAAATCCGTTTGTTTTTTTTGGCAAGTCAACACCAACTTATATAATTAATTATTTAAAATTTACCAATAACCACGAAAATTTCGATATTCTCATGCGTCTTCAAGAATTGTTAATTTTATTTTCAGTGGTTTGAACATAAGTCCCCTCACTTTTCAGCGTATCCGATGGAGAAAGAAGGAGGTTAACTATTTGAATAATATACATTTGATTAATATGTGAAAAAATTCTAGAAACATTGAATAACTCAAACATTAAGTACTCTCGATATACGATGTGCTATATATAGATGGATAGATATAGATGAAGTTAGGTTGGTACATTCCTGGCACATATACAAGGGGAGGAGGGTAATGGGGATAATTACCCCCTCCACAGATGATGATGAAAAAATTCAGTGTCTCAATCAGAATTAACAGTAAGATTCACAAAATAAATTTCATTCATCGCGTACCTATATAACTAGTATCTACTCCATTTCTTCCTAAAAACTGGAGAATGCCAAAACCTCGGCCGAGACTGTAGCGTGAAGTTGGTTTTTTATTCTAACAATTTATTCATGTTTATAAAATCCCGTCAACCGCTGTCATTTTGTCATTATGACAGCAAAATAAGTTTTTTATTCTAACAAAATAAGTTTTTTATTCTAACAAAATGAGTTTTTTATTCTAACAAAATAAGTTTTTTATTCTAACAATTTATTCATGTTTATAAAATCCCGTCAACCGTTGTCATTTTGTCATTATGACAGCAAAATAAGTTCGCACTAACTTTTCCAGCGACACAATGGAAAAATGACATTTGAAAGCATGGCAACCAAAATTGTAAACAAATATTTGATGATGTTTATGTAATTTTTTCTCAAACTTGATTTGTCAGAAAAGTATCTAATGTGTGGAAATATCGCGATTTAGAGCCTTCGAGTGGAGAAATTGAAAAAACCATCAACAATTATGTGATTTAGGTATTCATTACATCGTCTCACCAAATTACGCTTTGTTTCTTGGGTGGAAGTGAACTTGAAATTTATAATTAGAGTATTTTGCCTTCATAGCAAATTCAAATCTCCTGGTGAATAAATCGTACTGAATTTGAACTTAACGATTTGAAGGCATGTGACCTTGAACAACAACAAATTTTGCCTGCGACGATTTTTGCTTTCTGATGTCACTCCCCGCCCCCCTGTGTTACGTATTGCCTTCCCCTTGAAACAAAGCTGTATATATGCACCTGGTGCATTTCAATCAAGATGTTGAAGTTGAAGTCCATTTTTTTATTACCGGAATTCTGAAATACTGCAAATACTATAGATGAAAGGAGAACTTTGGAAAATCCAGTATAAAAAATAGTTTCGTGCTGAAATGATATGTCAGCACGTAGGTATATAGTGAAATACCCTGTATTTGTATATATCATTCAAGATGATTGATGAAGAAAATAAAATAACGTGAAACATGAGGCCAAAATATAGCAAAAAAATGTCTACAATGTTTCATCCATTAGGTACAATGAAATCATAATTTGGAGTATATCATCAGCATTATAGGTATCATTATTGGTATTTCATCAACTTTGGTGAAAACTTACCTCATTATTTTTTTAATTTCCACAGATCATTCTGTTAGCCACCCTCGTTGCTGTAGCTGTAGCCAATGGTGGACATGTGAGTATTCAATATAGATTCCTAATATTTACTACTAAACTCATAGAATATTCAGTGAATCACGTGGAATATAAGAATACAATAAATTCGATTGTGCCTATGAAGTGATACCTTCTCATATAATTCGTCCATGATCACATATGTTTTTATAATTTCTAGGATAACGCCCACTACAAATTCGAATATGGTGTCCACGACCCCCATACCCACGACCACAAATCCCAACACGAGCACAGAGATGGACACCACGCCACTGGAGGGTACACCTTGAAGGAAGCCGATGGTACCCACAGGATCGTCAAATACAAATCTGGACCTCACTCTGGCTTCGAAGCAGTTGTCGAGAGAGTAGGCCATGCTCAGCACCCAGCCCACTATGGCAAACATGGACACGGTGGACACGGTGGAGTTGGTGGTACCAGCTACGTCGGAGTCACCCACTGGAGCAACCAAGGATCAGAAGGTGGCCATGGTGGTCATGGTGGATATTGATAGCGCCTAAAGTTGGACTGATTTTTGTTATTGTTCTGTTTCTGAATTTATTTATTGAAATATAAAATGTTTATTACCCATACATTATATCGATATTTACTTCGTCTCCTTCCTTACATCATGCACTGAGAATAATTTGAAGAGAAAACATTAATGTGATGAAATCCTGATGTGATTGATTCTGAGTCCTTATTAAATCCAGTGAAATATTAATTAACACGCTTTTATCAACTTCACGTGTATATTATGTATGTATGTATGTAACCGACTCCCTTAATTCGTTGACCATGCATCATGACTCATGGCATCTTCCGAATGGCGGACGACTTTTTTAATTATGATCTGATTCTTCGACAGACAATAGGAAGGAAAGTTCTAATGAACATAAGTCGAAAAATTGCTACAGAATTCTTACGAAACTCCCATGTGATGAAATGATGCAATCCGGTAGAAGAACTAAACTTGTAACAAATTTTGCACCGGATTGCATCATTATATTACATGGCGTTTCGGAAATATCATCTTCAGGAGCCCCCTTTGAGGAAGCCGTAGCTTAGGAGCCATTTTTCGACTTATGTTTATTGGATCTTTTCTTCCTATTTTTGGTCGAAAAATCTGCTCCTGAAGTATGGCAAGCTATTTTTGGGATTTTGGGAGAATTTCTGAAATCTGTAAGACTGAGATGGAGACAGTATCGCCACCGCCGGAACTATATAGCACTACAAAACCATCAACAGTATATATATATATATATATGTGATATATATCCGGGAGAAAAGAGTACTTAATGAAAAGTGACATTTTATCCTGTCAACAGAGATGAAATTTCAAACTATTTTCCAGTCACAAAAAAAATGTTTTTTTTAGTATAAATAAGACATAGTGAGCTAGAAAATGTGTTGATCGGAACTCATAGACATGTCTAGTTATAATCACATGAATTATAGTATACGAGGCACGGTCAAAATATTCATTTTTTGGAAAACAAATTCTAGCACTTGCAATATCAACAAATTATATTTTGGTGAGATAGTATTTTATCAGTCTATTGTTGGCTTTGAAAACTCATTTTGATTCTTGATAACTATCTTTGTCTTATTTATACTGAAAAAAACAGTTTTTTCTCTGTCAATCATACCCCGATACGACGTTTTCACTCAGAAACCATGCATACAAAATTGTTTATCCTTACTTTCGAATGTTTTCGTGCGGGGTCCTTTATATAAATGAATACATACTTGTCACTTGCAACCAATGTAGTGATTTCAATTGACCCCCTGCAAGTCCATACATCTGCATTATCCACAGTTTTTCCACCACTCAGCTATTTACTCCTGTGTGTGTGTTTTCACTCCCAAGGTAGTTTCGTCATTTCATGAACCAATAGTCGATAAAGACATAACCACCTCTGTAATTAATCCGAATGCACTGTTCTGATCAGAGATTCGCAGGAATGGCACTCGTATCTAGTAGGTATTTATCAATATCGACTTGTCATATGGCTTGTGGTGAAAAAAAATCAATATTAACCTTGTGGTAGTAAAAAATAGTATTACCACGGGACCTTATATACCCTCGGCTGAATCCTCGGGTTATAATCTTGGTCCCTGGGTAATAATGTTATTCTTATCTATCTTGGTGTATAAGTAACTATTATATTTCTCTACTCAAATAACCGTACATTATTATTGTAGAAGAAATATGGAGGAATCAAACGGTGGAAGCAAAATGTCAAATTTGTCACCTTTGTCTAAAATGCCCCTATATTAAATCATATTTTTTCACCAGGCAGAAAAGCACAATGATATAAAGTATATACAGGGTGTTTCCGAAATTGGGGCGATTAATAAAATGAGGTGTTCTATGAGACGTAATGACACAATAAACCACAAGCAGAAATTGTTTCGATTATTTTTTAATGTGCGCTCCCAGCAGACTATACGTCTTTCACAATTATTATTGAACGTCCGGGACCATTGAAAAAGTTATTAATACTTCCGGTGCTTGTGATCTCGCTGGGAGCAAACGCTTGGGGTTTGGCTATCTCTGATCAACGATTTGAAATAAGATTAGTTGAAGTTTGAAGCTCAATATCCGTCAAAATATTACACTACACACTGTTTTACCACTAATCAAACCGCTAATTTTACGCCTCGACACGTATTTCGCTAGTAGTAGTAGTATTATTGTGGGGAGGCTGTAGCCAGGCAAGTAGGCCCCCATGGGCCCTTTTTGCCAACCCCTGCTCTCTACATATCTACACATCCCTCTTTTAGTTGCCCTTTTCGATCCTTCCCGTCCTTCTGATGAAGGTCAGGATGTCCGTCCACTCTAATTCGACCAAATCTTCCTGTTGTAGTTTATCTACTCCAAAGATTTCGAATCTCATCCTTCCATTCGCCTCACACTCTCCGAGGAAGTGAAGTGATGTCTCCTCATCTTCTCCGCATTCACGGCAAGTGGGACTATCTTCCACACCTATGAGTGATAGGTGTCTGCGTAACCTGTTGTGCCCTGTCAGTATCCCTATAACAAGGCGCAGGACTTGGCGATCCCTGCCCAGTAACCAAGCCGTCTTTGGCTTGCTTGGACCGGCCACCAGGTGCAGCTGCCTATACGCCTCCAATATCCTTCTAGTGCCTCGTCCGCCCATTTGTTAAGGGCAGACGAAGTTTGGCTTCTTGTTATGCCCAGTGCAGGCTCCGGTCCCCAGTGTTTCGCTAAGTATGTTAGCATCTTCAGGAGAAGGTTAAAACTGAATGTTTTATCCTAGCGTGCTACTTATATACTAGGTATATGTCCAACCGTGAAAGGCACTGAAGACTGTGATTTTCGTATCAAAAATAGTAAAAATATCGTTGACATATAGATATAGATGACTTTATTTCACAATTGAATAATTGCCTCCCCCCTATCATATTCACTTTTGGAGTTTTAACCCATAACATGTTAATAACTACAATGTTACATGGCCGATATGTAGCAAATAATAGGTGAGGTTGGATATTGTAATCCGAGGCGCAGCCGTGGATTATAACAACCGAATCTGTTATTTGCGTATCGACCGTGTGTCGTGCAAGACTTTTCGTAATCTTGCTGAAAGATTACATCCTGATTCCGAGGAAAGAACAAACCAAGTACCTCGTAATTCTACAGAAAAATCATAACATCGTGTTGTTACGGAACAGTTAACGGCCACCGGCCGTTAAACAATCTTAACGGGCGGAGGCTGTTAACATCAACTTTTCAATTGTCATCTGAATCTAAATAACAGCACCTATTAGATCACGAAATGTGTCATTAAAAAGCCACTTTCAATATAATTTGGAGGAAAACGGATTTTATCGATATGATTGAATATGTTGCATCAATTCTACGTCAACTGACATAACTATTATCTACTTATTTTTATCAACATAACATCCAATATCTTCAAAATATTCATGTCTTCTTCTAGTGTATTCATTAAAACATTTTGTATCCTAACGTGACGGAAGTTCTGATAATATTCCAAAATACTATAAAATTCAGAATTAAAGTTACATATTCTTTAATATGCACGGATCATCGTTCTATGAATAGGTCTTCCATACATAAAATATAATAATATGACGAAAATAGCATATCGACTACCTAATAAATGATTTCAACGGTATATTATGACCGTGCAAGCAAATAAAAACTGATATAGGTCAATTATGCTCCACGACTTAAATGAATTTTATAATGAGAATGTATACATAGAGCCAGTGAAGTAAAACATCAAACATGCAATTCGTTTACGAAAGCAATATTCTCTCAATTTCGTTAAAAAGTTTTACAAAATTACCAATAGTGTCAATTTGAAACATTGCACTATATAAAGCTGATATCATGATAGTACCAGACAGTTACCTTCCTTCTTTATCAAAGATCATATAACAGCAACTATGAGGACTGTACGTATTAAAGAAATTTTCGAAATATTTGAAAAATTCTATGATTTGTAACGTTTTTCTAGATCACCTTCTTCCTTGTCACTATCATCGCAGTTGCTGTAGCTAATCCAGATGGACATGGAGGACATGTGAGTGAAATTTTCGTATACAGGAATTATTCTTTGAATATTCAGTACTAATACGGATCATTGGACAAAATATTTTTTCGTCGACCTCAACAAAATATCACATATTACGTTCAATTTTCATTATCCTTTCTTGGAATTCGTATAGCATAAAATAGATCTGAATTTTTGACAAGGTATTAACTGACGAAATAAAAATTGAACTGGCAACCCTGATCCGCGCGGAGAGGGGGTTGACAACAACTGTCATTTGCTGTTGTCAAATTAATTATTCACGATGATGTGGATATTAGTGTTCGAGGTCGACAAAAAAATTTAATATGCACCTCGGCGGAAAGCTATCTATTGTCTGCAGACTCAGCTATAATAGACAGCTTTTGGCCCTTGGTACCTAAATAAGTATTTTGGACAACTATGGAAAGTATGGTGTTCCTCCTAGCTTACCTAATCAAAAAACCATTGTATTGAAAGAGATATTTTTTCTAACGGCACATAGCCACACCAGATACATTTTTGAAGAATGGAAAAAAACGACGAAAACTTAGTTGGCTGCTGGCAGAGACTGGCATGTCTTTGCATAACAGGAGCAATGAGATCAGCTCCAACAGCAGCACTAGAGGTCATTTTGGATCTCACACCTCTACACATCGTGGTGAGGAGAACTGCCTATGGAGCACATCTCAGGTTAGCCAAGGTCGGACTAGGAGGGAAAACGCACAATGTAAGGGGCTCACCCCCCACTGAGATCGCACACCTCGCCGATCTTTCAACAGATCAAATCATTAGGAAGTTCAGTTTTGAGAAGAACTTCCGAGTGGAGCTGAGCAACAAGCGCGAATGGAGCACAGAATCCATCGAATCACTGGGAAGGAATACCATTACTTGGTATACGGACGGGTCTAAAACACCCGAGGGAACTGGAGCAGGAGTCTTCGGGCCTCGCACCAAATACTTCGAATCCATGGGACAATTCCCCAGCATTTTTCAAGCGGAAAAACACGCCATAGGAAGATGCATCCAGTTCAACCTAGACAGGAAATACCGGAAGAAGGACATCGCGATTTTATCCGATAGCCAAGCAGCCATCAAAGCGTTGAGCTCTCCTTACATCAACTCGAAGATGGTATGGGAATGCCTAAGCAAATTGAATGAGCTAGGCAGCAACAATAAAGTTTCCCTCCTCTGGGTGCCAGGGCATATCGGAGTGGAGGGGAATGAACAAGCAGACGCTCTGGCACGACAAGGGGCTTCAACGCCACTGATCGGACCAGAACCATTCTGCGGCCTTGGAAATTCCTATTTCCAAGGAGAACTTGAGAAGGCGAGAGGAGCCTGGAGAGCCATACAATGGAAAAGACTTCCAGGATTACGGCAGGCTAAAGATCTCCTTAGAAATTTCAACCGAGAAAGATCTGAGACACTGACAAACCTCAGCAAAGGAAGTCTCAAAGCAATAACGGTATTTCTAACGGGGCAATGCAGACTCAAAGAACACCTAAGGAAGCTAGGCTTACAGGAGGACGGCACCTGCAGATTATGTGAGGAAGAACCAGAAACACCCCATCACATACTGATGGAGTGTGACGCTGTACATCACAAAAGATTGAACATACTGGGAACACACCAGCTGACTGTGGATGAAATACCACAGCTAGACCCCCTCAAAATCCTCGAATTCCTGAAGGAATTGAATCTCGAGAAGCTGCTATGAACAAGAAATCCTTGATATAGCAGGAGCAGATGGGGCACAATAGATCTAATTGGGTCGCAGCGCATCTGTCACCATCCAACCTACCAATACCAATACCAATAGTTGGCTGCTGTTCAGTTCTAAATAGTTGACACAACAGTCAGCAGCATCAGTTTCTTAAAATCTCAAGGTAGTTTTCATTCGTGCTTTGATTAGAATCGCAATTTCCATTTGATATTATTTCAATAGGACATATATCTATTTATAATCAATAATACTCAAATACTAGATACCTACTCCGCTAGGTATATTGGCAAAATTAACATTAGATCATTTTGTTGCCGGAAGATTTGAAAAAATAGGAATTGGAATGCGAAAAATGTATGGAATGGAAAAGAAGTACCATTTCCCGAAAGTACGAATTTTTTGTTATTTCAGTTTTGCTAACCATAAAACTATAGATATCAAGTTATATTACCTGTATTCTCAAAATTTGCGCAGTTGTAGAAAGAGTATAGTGTGCAACATGTGGGGAGAAGTACTTATCCCACTTGTTGCACAATATACTATTCCTAAACGCTCATAAAATTCTATTTCAGGACAACGCTCACTACAAATTCGAGTACGGTGTCGATGATCCCCATACTAAAGATCACAAAACCCACTTCGAACACAGAAATGGGCACCATGTGACTGGACAGTACACCTTGAAGGAAGCCGATGGTACCCACAGGATCGTCAAGTACAAGGCTGGACCTCACTCTGGCTTCGAAGCAGTTGTCGAGAGAGTAGGCCATGCTCAGCACCCAGCCCACTATGGCAAACATGGACATGGTGGACACGGAGGACACGGTGGTGTGGGAGGTACCAGCTACGTGGGAGCCATCCACTGGGGCAACCAAGGATCGGAAGGTGGTCATGGTGGTCATGGTGGATATTGAAAACTGATGTGTACCTACTGTTGTTCTTGTTATGTAGAATAAATATTTATTTAGTATCTATTCAAACGTGGTTTTGGTCAATTTGGTATAACTGAGTCCAGATTTAGAGGGAAGTATTATTTCCTTATTCCCTTGCTTCACAGTTTCCAAACTGCGACCGTTTTCATTCTAGCCGTTTCCTCACTCATAAGACTCAATAGGTAGGACCTATAAAAGATGATACAAGATGCTATATTATTTCTACCTCGTTATCGCATACATAATCTGCAAATCGCAAGATGGAAAAAAAGTGGGGCAACTCAAAATAATCAATTTTTGAGTTTTTCAGGAGCATCGTGACATCTATAAGCCCAGTAGCCGCCGTATTTCAACGCATGACCAGCGTTAACCTATATATGAGATATTATGTTTCAACTCTACCTACATATGATTCGATTCCAATTTTGCTGGTATAACCTCTCTTCAATTGATCTTATCATGAATGATGAATGTTAAAGATAAGATACTGTATACATGTCATATGACAATTTTTTCCACATTAGGAAAATAACGTATAAGAATAATAAAGTGAGAGAAGTACACCAGAGGAAAATTCGATTTTCTCAAAACAAAGAATTCTGAATTATCACGCTATTGATGTCAACGTGTGAAATGAGTGCAAGATTCGGTGCAGGTGTTTTCTCTAGTGACATTGACCTGCTAGTGGTCCAATCACTAAATCCATTCAACTTAAGAATTTTCGTATTTCATCATCTTCTTGTGTTTATCACCTCCCCTTTATGAATACTTCTTCAATCGTATAGTCCATACGTTTTTTGAGCCTATATCCTACAATAGGAATCCAACTGTTTTTTTCTCCTCTGGCTAAGTAAGTTGTCTGTGACCAAATCAGCATCTCACTGGGTACAAGCGGAAATGTACGCAATCCTGCAATTTGTAATGACAAACAACATGAGGGAATAAATATGCGGAAGTGACGTCCACACTGGTACGGGAATGCAGAGAAGAACTCAGTGGCCTGTAAGAACATAAAAAAATAACCCTGCTATGGGTCCCAAGAAACTGTGACATCGTAGGGAATGAAAAAGCTGATGACCGGGCAACAACTGGCCCATAATCTCTATACATTTGCCCAGAACCCGTACTCGGGGTTACAAAAACAGCTATCCGAGGCTGTATACGGGATTAGATCAAGCGAAAACATAGGGGGCGGCTCTCACATGCAACACGTTACGGGAAAACAATCATTGAAGAACAGTCGAAACATAAAACTGAAGAACTACTCGAGTTGGGTAGGAAGCAAGTCAGAACAATAACGGGCCTTCTCATCGGTTACAGTCCAACGAAAGGACACCCGAACAAAATGGGGTTTGTACAATGGAGAACTTTTCTGCAGACAATGCGGAAAGGGACAGAAACATCCAAACACTTACTGATAGAATGAGAGGCTCTGGATCGCAAAAGACAAGAAATATTCGGGCAGCCCAAGGTATAACTCCCAAATTATATAACAGCCAACCGGTGCAGAACCTGTACAGATTGGTGCAGGGAATAAGAGCTACGGAATGGGTGCTGTCAAACCAAACTGGAATGTACAAAAAGCCCAGGAGGTTGAGGTGTAGCTGGGAACAGGACCATCATCCAAGGAAAAAAATATCTGTGAGTGAAGATTGAGGTTTTTTGAAGAAATTTCTTCATTCCTGACCATTCCTGAGATTTCGTTCATCCTCGTCCTTCTTCACGTAGCTATTTCGTGAATTGAGTGAGAATAGAATCATGAGACATTCGCCTTTTCTTCCCAGATGACGTTTTATTCTGACCTCAAGCTATATGTTACGATAGATATATCAAAAAACTCCCTTTTTCAATGTATTCAAGATACCTTTGCTCTTTGGTGCAAAAACATTTATTTCACTTGGGTATCGTGACTTACTGTAATTTATACTTATGTTAACCTTGGTCTTTTTTTGGATTTTCACCAAGGCTTCGATATACTATAGACTTCTACAACATAGATTTTTATTCCAGTGGCCACCCTGAATCGCTGAAGATGTCCTATTTTGCGAGGAGCCACCCGTGATGGGCAAAACAAGAGGAGACAAAATCGTCCATCAAAGAACACGTGTCCACCAGGCCTACCAGAACTTGAGACTCAAGAAGAGGTTTCGGCAGTACTCCGAGAACAAACCGAGAAGGAAAAGGGCTGCTAAGGGTAGCGGGGATTCTGGAATGGACCCGCGCGATTTCTTTAGTGGGGTTTACAATTTCACACAAACGGTATGCAGGGTGAGAGATTTTCGGGGATTCTGGAATGGACCCGCGCGATTTCTTTAGTGGGGTTTACAATTTCACACAAACGTGAGAGATTTCAACGCACAAATTGATTTAGTAATGGCAATATGTCAGAGGCGTATTAAAAAGTGTATTATTACCCTGTAGATTTTGAAAATCTTTAGAATGCCTAATCCTGATAACTTCTGAATTGAGATATTTTTATTTTAGTGAGGGTTGATGGGCTGTGTGCACGTGTATATATACCAAAGAAGGGAAGAGTTGTATTTCGTGCAAGACAATTTATTCAAATTTATATTCGTAGGAGAGCGCTTTCGACTGTTAAGTCATCATCAGTGCATACCTGTGAGTGAGTAATCTGCTTCTAGCTATTGGAAAGGAATTGAAATTGAAAATTGGAAAGAATTTTCCGAACAATTTTTTTTTTTTAATTTTTTGAAATTTTTTTTGGAAATTTGTTCAATATGGAAAAAAGGTGAAAATAAATTGGTGACTTTCTTACTTGTTGATGAACTCTTGATTTTGGAAAAGACATTATCATAAATTCGAAATTTGAAATAGTTAAATATGAATTTGGAAATTGATAAAAGTGAGGTTACTTACTCGTAAGGTTAACAGGCAGGACATTTTACCATAATATCGTTAGTTTTACACTGGACCAGAGATATTTTTATGGACAAATTACCCTGTCAACCTGACGAGTAAGTAACCTCACACTTACCAATTTCCAAATTCATATTTAACTATTTCAAATTTCGATTTTATGATGATGTCTTTTTCAAAATCAAGAGTTCTTCAACAAGTAACAAGTCACCAATTTATTTTTTCCTTCTGTCAATTTCAAACAAATTTCCAAAGAATAAAAAAAAAATTCGTAAAATTTTTCGAATTTTCAATTGCAATTTCTTTCCAACAGTTAAAAGCAGATTACCCTATTACAGGTATGCACTAATGATGACCTAACAGTCGAAAGCGCTCTGCTACGAATATAAATTTGAATAAATTATCTGGCACGAAATACAACTCTTCCCTTCTTTGGTATTTTGATTTTACTTGATTTTTTGGTATTTTCTCTCCTCGTTTGTATAAAATGAAAGTATGCGTATTATTTCAATATATTTGTAGTGGGATAAATCAGATGATTCGCCCCAAATTGTCACTGCGTTTAACAAATTCTTCTATCAGGGAGCCTAAAAGAAAAATCCAGTAGCTTGTCAGTGTCAATTTGTTTGAAAAATGTTTGAAGGAAAGAAATATAGATATATCGAATTCTTACTCATCTTTGGACGTTTCGGGGCCGAATCTGCTCCCGTTCACAATGCAAAATATCTCTCTTTGGGAGTTGTGCTGCTTATGAGAGGTATTTTGCATTTTTATGTTGAGAACGGGAGCAGATTCGGTCCCGAAACGTCCGAAGATGAGTAAAAATTCGATATTTTTTCAATATATGTATCTATATTTCTTTCCTTCAAACATTTTTCAAACAAATTGTCACTGACAAGCTACTGGATTTTTCTTTTAGGATCCCTGATAGAAAAATTTGTTAAACGCAGTGACATTTCGGGGCAAATCATCTGATTTGTCCCACTACAAATATATTGAAAAAAATACGCACATTCTTATTTTATAGAAACGAGGAGAGAAAATCACAAAAAATCGAGTAAAATGAATGTACCACCTCCTCGATTAACCTACAGACAGTATTGAAGATATTTTGAATGAAGAAATTAAAAAAAAAACTTCGACCCCCGGTAGCATCACTACTGGTCGAGATCGGACTAATGTACCTATTTATAAAATTTTTGATTAAAATAAGGAGATTCATCACCCATGTCAGTGTGTGTCAACCTCAATGATCCTGTATAATTTGTCTAATCGGTATAAACGAGAGGTTGTCCCCAATGAGCACGTGTACGTATATCCAACGTTGAATGGATGAAAAATACATTAATCGTAGATTTTTCGTTGTTCAGTTGGATATGACAATCACGTCACACGAAATACGTTATGACCATGTACCTATGTATATTTTGAAAGAAACGTTATTTCCAATATATTTTCAGACGTTTTTCAAAAACCAGTGGTCGGCGTTCATTTGAAATTATAATGTTTTAGGTCAACAATATATTAAAAACTCGATAATAATGCTATATTCAATTTATTCGGGAATATTGGGTACTGAGTTTCAATGATTCCATTAATTTACTATATTATCGGGAGAATGAGGAAACCGAAAGAAATGAGCGTTCATTATTTATAAATAAAGAAGCAACAATAAAAATGAATTTTCAATTCCGAGGTTTTTTGTTTTTATATTTCAGTTCGAATTATTATCAATTCATTGTCATTATTATTTGTACCGCAAACATTTGAATATTGTCAGTCCTCAGTAGGAACACCGAATTGAATATATCTCGATACACTCTGAAAGTACTTCGAATAATATTTTGATTGGCCAAGTCTGTTCAAACCAAAATTCCTTCCATATCATCTGTTTAATTTCGATTCAGTGGTATGTTAACTACTTTCTTTGTTTTTTTCAGACCAATGGCGTAATTATAGATACAATACTGTTCAGGTTGCATACAACTGCCACAGTAATTTTACTCATGACCTTCTCCCTTGCTATCACCACAAGACAGTACATGGGACATCCTATAGACTGTGTCCATTCAAGGTAAAGAACTAAAATCTCACTTTGAGTTGAAATTTATAAATATTCCAAGTTACATCACTCAGCATCAACCACGTACCAGCAACCAATACCTTCCATGATCGTGATTGCATAATTTATTATATCTTATAAATGTTCGATGTTTTGGGATTTCCGGATTTCCAACTTGTCACCTAAATAGATATAATACTAATAGATACGATTTCGTATGGAAATGTGTTTCTGTTATTCTATTTTTATGGTACAATGAAGTCATAAAAGCATAATAAGAATTTCAAAGACACTAAAAGATAACCGTGCACCATAGTGTGTTTCATCTATGCGTGCACACACTGTATTACTGTATAGATAGATATTGAAATTTTCCAATTACATTAGCGAGCTATTTAGGCAACCAACTTAACTCAAATAAGAACAGATGTCTGTCTACATCTGTTAGTGAAAGACGTCGATATTCGAAGGATAAATGGATAATTATCGAATACCATAGATCGAATACTAAATTTTCATACAAATTATAGATTATTCATTCTGAATTACAGAATGGAATTTGGTAAATGAAATTTGGCAAATGGTACTGTCACTCAGTAGAGTACCTTTAGGTATATAGGTATAAAAAGGTGGTGAGTACGTCAAATATTTTGGCACTTATGTATTGAAAAACCATCCCGATAATAGCAGATAAATAAAATTGGACCTTCTTGAATATAGTTAACTACATTTGTGATCATGATTCATCTGGCAAAATTTTAGAATGCAGTCAATGAAAAAACTTATGGTGTTCCATTTCAATAGTGTATATAAATTGAAACAGTTTCAATCTTCTCCTGAAGATGCTAACATAGTTATCGAAACACCTGCCAAGGCTTTAACAAACATGTTTGGTTTATGGTGAAACGGTGTAGTGAAATATTATATCCATCTCAAAAGGTTCTAGCCGTCGTGCCATCGATATATCTCTATTATTTATATTATGATATATAGGTATACAAGGTATTCCATAAGTCTTGGATCAAAAGAAGTGGGGTGGTAGGGGGAGTCATTTACAATCAAACTAACGGTTTATGTGGTTATCAGATTGTTGATGGTATCAAAGTTATTTCATTTTCCTGAAAAACGGGCCTCTCTTGAGAAAAATTAATAACAAAAAGGCTGTTTTGATTAACCCCATATGTTATTCCATTTCGGAATCTGTATTAAATGGACAACTTTTTCTTATGTTTGGTTATCTTTGCGGGGTAGTTTTGAAATCTGCCAGCGGCACTTAAAAATCAACACTGATATATTTTTTTCAATGACAAAACTTAAGGAAAACAACATTTCTCTTACAGGTCATATAATCATTTCTAGGGAAAGGTGCGTCCATGCGGATGAAATTTGTGAAAGAAAAAATCACAAATGTGACATAGTCTTATCGTCATTAACTTTTTTATAGATATGAAAAATAATGTATAACTTTTGAACCATCAACAATAATTGAATAACCACATATACGGTTACTTTGATTGGAAATGACCCCTTCTACCACTATACTTCTTTTGATCCATCGCATGACTTATGGGACACCCCGTATTTTCTAGTTTTATATACCACTAACCAAACCGATTATTTTAACGCTTCGATACGTTTTTTGCTAACTATGTTAGCATCATCATGAGGTCTATTCAGTTATAATATTCTCCTGAAGCGGAAAAAGTGTGTGAAGGCGCTTAAAAAATTGATTTGGTCAGTGGTAAAACAGTCTAGAACCTAAAATCTCCAGACTGAGAGATTATTGGGAAATTTCATGAATCGATTCCAGCTGGTGCAAGACAGACTGTTTCGGCTTTGCCAAGCCTCATCAGTTGCACTAGGCCAGCTGTTAATCGATTCACGAAGGGTACTAGTGCAACTGATGAGGCTTGGCAAAGCCGAAACAGTCTGTCTTGCACGACCTGATAATCGATTCACAAAATTTCTCTAGAATCTCTTATATAATCTTGAGATTTTATGTTTCTCATCATCTGTCGGTGGGACATTAAATCACTGTGAGAATTTCAGGTGTGCAATAATCTGCAGAACTGTGGCATTTTCGTCTTTCTGTAATGATATAGACGTAGGGGTCTATATTCGACTTACTTGCAAGCAAAAGGTTGCAAGGTATGGTTGTTTAAACAATCTACTTATACCACCTTTGTACTTTTCCCACTAGATGGCTCGCTAAGGACTAGATCATCCTCTTACTCTTCGGGGCATTTGATGTCATCGATTCATATTCATTATTCATAATTTTTGTTTCCAAGAAGATATATATTTTGGGAATAACAGGAAACACCCACAGCATATTCTTGTTCCATGACACTGTCGTCGTATCATGCAACCGGTATTTTGACTGCACAGCAATAAACACCTCAAATAGCATTAAAAATAGCAAGCACTGAATCGAAACTGAAACTGAAACGGAAACATAAAACTGATGTTCTGAAGCCTGAACGTTGTTCATGAGATTAATATCTCTTTTTTATATATTTTGTATATTTCCATTAAAGAAAAGGAACAGAGGATTCCTATCAATTGTCGAAATATTAAGAAAATTAATTCAATTCGAAATAATATGCTTATGAACTAAATAACTTCGCACAGAATTCAAGCACTCGTGTTTTCATAAACTTCAAGCTCAGATATTATGAGTGAGTGGCTTATTGATAACTAAGTTTGTGAAGGGAATTATAATAGAACATCCGAATTCCGATAATACTAAATCATTGATGAAATACAACAATAAAAGGCAGATAATGTAATTCAATTTTACATTTCTGATGACATAAGCAAGTTTTCACGGGAAATAATGGAATAGTTTTGTTTTCCAATTTTGTCATTATCAAGAGTAGTTAAGCAATTCGATAAATAAAAACCAATCTATAGATCGTGCGATTCCGATTCCAAGCAATTTCCTTTTTCCAGGGATATTCCTGAAGATGTATTGAATACGTATTGCTGGATTCATTCGACGTTCACTGTTATTGACGAAGATGCCTACAACAGACATTCAGAAGATGGTTTGTCATCTGATATTCAAACTACTGGTAGTCATTCCACTAAACAATTGAAATATTACCAATGGGTAGAATTGTTTTTATTCATGCAGGTGAGTACTGAAATGGAAGTTCATAAATTGGAAAGATTCTCTGATGTATTCTGTTGTATGATTTTCAAGTGTGGATATGATGGCATACCTGATATGATCTATTATTAACGGTGTTTATTCGAAAAAGAATACTTCGACACTTGCCCGTGATTCAAATGTGTAATAATTGTGTGTGTATAAGTGTTTATGGTATTATGTATATAACGCTATGGTTACTGCCCGTTTAGCCGCCGCACGAGATTGTTATAATAATTTGTAAGTGAGAACTTTTCTTTCCACCTATACATTGCACCAATTTGTAGTTTTATCCATTGATATTGGTAATTTTTCATAGTCACATGTCATAAGTATACTGATAAGCTTCCCATATAATATTTACTCTCATTAATATGTTCACGTTGGAAAACAAGAATTGACGATATTCACAGTGTTGCTCTTCTGATATGATGTCACCCCAAATGTTTGGTATAATAGCATAGGGTGCCATCATGTCAAACGAACCATATATTTTGGGACTGGATGTTTGCTCCTGCAGCAACAACCAAATCCTTGTTAGAGAATATGCAGCTGATGATGTTGTGGAGTCCAAAGATCACCAATCACCATTCATCATTAATTCTGATGAATCTGTTAGTGAACCAAGCACGAAAAAATATGGTGATGGAGCAGCAGCAAGAATTTTTAGGTTGTCAGTATTGAGCGAATATCTCCATTAACAACAGTGCCCGAGCTATCAGCTCAATGGAGAAAATAAAGAAAGAAAGGAAAAATGAGCGTCATCAATATTCAACACCAGATATTGAAGGGGAAAATCTGTGGAAAATGTTGAGCGCTAGAAAGAAGGAGAGAAATTGGCGATAGCAGCTATAAGAGCAAACTTGAAGCCAGTGAATCAGATGAGGAATTAACCATGAAAGAGGTGAAGATGATGAAGATGTTGCATGATGCTTGTGCTGTGATGAGCTTTTCTGTTGGTCTAAATCCAAAGAGCTGTGGCTCTAATGTCAGCTATATAGTTTGTGGGCCTATGCTGCGTGTGCAAATAAGGGTTAAAAACCAAACCATTTGTAAAATTTGCGAAGATAAATGAATTCACTTATGTTAATTTTTTCATAGGGTTGCATCGACGAAAAATAATCAAAATACAATAAATAGGACTAATCATGTGTTTTCATAAAACTATATGAATACGTATATCAACAATGATATTCTTGATGTGTCTTGTGAATTATATCTTTATTCCAGCTATTTCAGATCCTGAAAACTAATGATGATGAAAAGGGTGCCATCATATCCACATCTCCCCTAATAATATCTTTATTTTAGGAAACCAACACATTATATTACGAAATCAACGAATTTATACAACCGATAAACTTCATTAATAATCCGATAAATTAAATCATCAAATCATTATTTTAGCACTAATTTATGACTGTTTATGTTTCTTGACATCTAAAAATGGCTATACTTGTGTATTCGAATAGGTGGAGTTATTTTACCTTCGAATATAAACGTTATAGTCATTTTGTAAACATATATAACAGAGGGAAACGGTAAATTTTGTACAAGCAATCTTTACAACCCAAAATATTTTCCGATTCTACACGATAGGAGCCGGAATAATATAATAATATACCCAATCATAACAAAAGCTACTGAATGAGTACTTCTTACAAAATTCTCTATACAGGGTGATTCTTAACCTATATTCGTATAAACTTGCGAGCTTCCTTTTCCGTCCTCTTCAATGAAAGGTACTCTATACATATGTTTTCTACATTTTCATTTGTTTTGCATCTGAGTAGGCTTCTCAAGCCATCCTCAGAGCGAGCGATTATTTGAGTAAAGTCAATTTTCACGTCGAAACAAAAACAAGTGCTCACATCCCGGACGCTCTTTCTTTGGGAAAGTAGCATTTTTCCAGCCTAGTTCCGGAAGTACGCACTTTCCCTGTTACTATGAAAATCTTGGTAGATATGGTTTTGATAAAAAATGCAGATGATAATAACCATATAGCAGCGATATATCGGCTGACAGCTACCTATTTGACATGACTTCCAGGACTCGCCTACGGCTCGGCCTAGAATTTCGTCTACTCGTCCAAAAAAACAGTATATTTCGAACTTGTTACGTAAATCACTATTTCAAGAATGAGTACTTGCTTATGTAATGATATTATCACTCGACTTGTCACATAAAACACCGATTGTCAATGGTCTGAAGCCGAGTCAACAGTGTTCATAGGATTCGATCATATGTACTCCTCTTATATAACAAATCCGTTGCTGATCCGGCCTGGTTACCGGCGTAGAGATAATGGAGCACGTTTGACTTCAAGTATGGCCCCCTCATCCGATGAATAGAGCGTAGAGATGAAAGGTGCTGATATTTTTCAAACACACTTATGAAACTTCACCTTAAATGTTGGATTTTAATCCAGATCATTTTGGACTTGCACACACATTAACCTGACTTTTGGCCTGGAGACGCAATCTTGCTCCTACCGTGGCCAAAAGTCGAATCCAGTAGGAATCTCAAAAGGTAATAAGGACACAAAGTATGTTATTGAATAAGAAAACTGTTTCCACTATCGATGCTGAAGAAAGGACCCCGCAAGAAAACACAGGAAATTTGCTCTCGGTCGAATTGGCTGAAATTTTACTATGTTGTTGTGGGATGGCTCATTAGAACAATATTTGAGTTCGAAAAGTTTTGTATGTTTAGTTTCTGAGATGTAAGCCGACAAAGTTCGTAAAAACGTCGTATCAGGGTAGGATTGACAAAGAAAAAATAAGACAAAATGAGCTAAAAAATGTATTAATAGGAACTCAAATACATGTCTAGTTATGATCACATTAATTATAGTAAATCAGGGTGTATACGAGGCACGGTCAAAAAATTCATTTTTCGAAAAACAAATTCGAGCACTATTACAAAACCAACAAGTTAAATTTTGGTGAGACATTTTAGTTTCAGTCTATTGTAGGCTTCGGAAACGTATTTTCATTCTCTATATATATCTCCGTTCAAAATATGAATTCTTTGAATTTCGTGTTATACCCCTTTTGGAAATTAATTGACATATTGTTTTTGATCACAATAAAAGGAATTGATTGAAAGTGTTGATTGAATGGAAGCTGAAGTAACTCACTAGCGAATTCAGTTGTTCAATATTGCTTTTCATTTAGATACAGGGTGTGTTAGATTTTGTTGAAGATTATTTAAAATGTTTCAATTGAATATCTCGAAAACAGTTCCGTTAATTTGGATCTCATTCTACTCACACTATTTTGAATATGTTGGCTATCATATGCAAGAGGTTTTTCAATTTTTTATGTTTCGTTCCTGAGATATGGATCCCTATAATACCTGTAATACTGTCAACTCAAAAATTGATATCTCAGAAACGAAACATAAAAAAATTGAAAAACTTTTTGCATATGCTATAGTCAACATATTCAAAATGGTGTGAGTAAAATGAGATCCAAATTGACGGAACTGTTTTCTAGATATTCAATTGAAACATGTTGAATAATCTTCAACAAAATCTAACACACCCTGTATCTAAATGAAAGGCAATATTGAACAACTGAATTCGCTAGTGAGTTACCTCATCTTTTATTCAATCAACAGTATCAATCAATCCCTTTCTTTGTCATCAAAAACAAGCTGACAATTGTTTTCAAAAACTGGTATAACACAAAATTCTAAAAATTCATATTTCGAACAGAGATAGTTATCAAGAATCAAAATACGTTTTCGAAGCCTACAATAGGCTGAAACTATAATGTTGAACACCGTGCATCGTATACTATGATTTACTATAATTTATGTGATTATAACAAGACATGTTTATGAGTTCCGATCAATACATTTTCTACATTATTTTGTTTCATTTATACTAAAAAAAAAAACAGTTTTTTTCGTTGTCAATTCTACCCCGATACGACGTTTTTACGAACTTAGTCGGCTTATATCTCAGAAACTAAACATACAAAACTTCTTAAACTCACATATTTTTTTAATGAGCCATCCTACAACAACATAGTAAAATTTAAGTAACGAACTAATTTTAGTTTCGAAAAAATGGTGGAAATTGTGAGGATGGATGATTCTTCTACTGGTTGCAAATGTATTCGATAGTTATTTCCAGTAGCGTCCTTCAGGGACTCATGTCACGGTAAGGAGCACCTGTATAAAAGAATTGTATAGGAACTTTTTTCTGGTTCCATCTGAACCTGAGCAATTTCCAACATTTTTCCAGAACGAATATACCATATAAATATCAATTCACCTTGTGCCACAGCATAGTGTGCCCATTTCGCATTCTTTTTACTTGAATATTATCAATAGGTACCTAATACCTCATACAGTTCATTAAAATTCTCATTGGAAATCTCTATGGGTCGTTAGGAGAATTCAATTTTCATTTGCTTGATTACCTCAAAACTATTTTAACAAGGTACTCAAGTATTTCGAGTAATCTAAACACTCTCCTTGATTTAGATTTCCACACTTGTTAGTAGCATCGTTAACACCAGCAGTCGTGTTTTCAACACCTTCTTGTTGAGTTCGTAAAACAGGTTAAGTGACAAGAAAAGTGATATTGAGACGTTTATTTTCTTGTATGATATTAAATCAGTCAGGACGTTCAATTGAGTTGAGCTATATATACATAGAGTTATTCCACCAATCGGAATTTCAAAATTATTTCCATAGTAACCAATTCATATTTTTTCATACAAACTAAGCGCGTCATAAAATGTTGACGTTCGTTCAGAACAACTCAAATAATAATCGCATCTTATACAATTCGAACTTCAAACTATTTATGGTGATACATCTCAAACTTCCTGCATAATTACAAATCGTGTCAGTCTAACAGATAAATTCTCTCCCTTCGCGGTCGGATTATTTCAACAGTTGAATTGCAAATACAATTCATTCATTCTTATAAACATATAACTGAGTATAGAATGATCAAGAGGAAAACTTGCTTGTTGAACATTAATGGAATATTATCCTACTTATTCAAAGTCATAGAGGAAAAAAATATAACAAGAGGCTTGATAATCATGACACTTTTGGAATTGAATCTTGAGATTGATTGATTTCTGTTCTGAGATAATTGAGAAAAAAACAAAATTGTCGATTTTCTTTTCAGGCACTAGTCGTTTCATTTCGTGAATTTGAAAAATACTTTTCAGACATGTTTTCTTCCATTTAGTTTGATTTTTTTTCTCGAATGAGATGAATGATGTTCCGCCGCCAAAATTTTAAATGTTCCGTCACCAAAATATCAAATGTGCGTTTCAATTTTTTCGACTAGATAGTCGAGTTAAATTGAAACTTCGCACCCTTTTCAAAGACCGATGACAATGATAATGATTATAACTAGAAAATTCTATTCCATTATCCTGTTCAGGATCTTTAGGAAAAGCGAATTTAATATCCAAAGGCACGGCAGTATCTTACACTAAGGACAGTCCTATGCCATGAAATTAGTAGACATAGACAGAGGTACATCCAGAGAAACGGTAGTGTCTGGCACCAAGGACTCGTATCAAATGAAGTTTCCAGAGAGGGAGCCTGATAAACTTTTACAACATCCAAGGTGCGCAACAGGTGCGAAATTACTCTCACTAGTCCAGTTCCCAGAGACCAAAAAAGGGGTTCATCTTACAAAAGGTGGGGTAGAAGATTTCATTTTTATAATTCGTTATAATTAGTATGAAGAGAAAAATATGGAAAATGTGACTAAATCTGAGCTCGGCACAACTTTTGGTAGCCGAAAAACCTCGAAGTTTTCGGACATTTTTCGGTTTCCTTCTACGACCAATAAGGAGCGAGCTACATCATCTCAAAGATGGACCATTTTTCTCAAAATGGTGAAAATGCCAAGAAACGTAGCCAAGTAAGTAGAAGGATCTATAATTTTTCTGTGAGCCCCCCCATCACAAAATTAATCACCAACTCAAGGAATAAAGGAGACAAGAGAGTGAGAAAACATGTGTATGGAAGAAACTTGATTAAACAAGTGAAGTATTTCTTTACAATGAAAACATTGAAAAATTGACCAATGAAAAGAGAAGTTAACCTTTCACTTCACTTCCTTCTTGGGCGTTTCGACGGTCCTGGTTCCTCACGAACAGGTGCCATGATGGGTGGGTCCTCTTAGACCTCATCCATGGTTGATGAGGTGAATGTATCTTCCTCTTCCTCACCATCTGTGTCCAGTTCGGTGGAATACAGTGGGATATTGTCGCAGTCGGTGCCTCTGCATTTCTTGCAGATGCTGGAGCATTTCAACCCGGCTTTGACGC